AATTTAATGGAATACCACCACATCAACTAAACCTTAAACTCAGAACTCCTATAATATTATTAAGAAATCTAAATCAATCCATCAGACTTTGTACTGGAACAAGACTTATCATTACACAATTAACAAATAAAATTATAGAAGGACAAATTATAAATACCAAGAATAGAAATGATCATACATGAATCTAAATGGCCATTTACATTAAAAAGAAGACAATTTCCCGTCAAAACTTGCTATGCAATGACAATAAATAAAAGCCTAGGACAATCATTGAATAAAATTGGATTATATCTAGAAAGTGAAATTTTTACATATGGACAATTATATGTAGCTTTATCACGAGCGACAAGCCCAAAATGATTGCATATACTAATTCACAACTCAATTAATAAATATCCAAATCATGTAAAAACCATTCTCTATAAAGAAATTCTACACAATATCAAATAGGACATACATATTATAGTTTCTTTTATATAGCAAAAGTGTTTTATCATCAATAAAATCAAAACATATTTATCATCATAATGCACCATTTATTATATAATTAAAATCTTTTATTATAAACATACTAAAAACATATCTAATAAAATTATTTCTTTACTTATTAAACAATTATTTCTTATCTTTAACAGTTAAACAAAATGACAACACCAATCCGTGCACTGAAGCCAAATGAAATTTACGAAAGAATCAGGGCAAGAATTTCCAGATTATGGACAAACAATGATTTGACGACAAGACGTTTAATCAGCTTCGATTGTCTTTTAGTCGATGAAGAGGTAACAATTCTTGCAAATATTACATTATATTATATTTGATCTAACATTAAATACTATAAAATAAATAACATTTTTATTTTTTTCACTCGCAGCATGAAGCAATCCAGGGATGAATTTGGGCTCATGACTCAGACACTATTTCTGAAAAAATCCAATTGGGCAATATATATGACATCAGCAACTTTTTTGTTAGTGAGAACAAACTAACATACAGAGTTGTACCACACAATGCAATGCTACAATTCGCATGTGCAACATCTTTTGCCCTAGTTACAGACGAATCATTGCCTATTCCATTTCATAGGTTCTACTTCGTTGAATTCGACCAACTCCAACACAGAATCGGAACAACAAAAATCTTAAATGGTAATGTAATCACTCTTTATGATTAAAAAAATGTTTATTAATTTAACAATATATATTCTTAACATTTTTTTATTCATTTGCATACAGATGTGATAGGTATCCTAACAAGAGTGCAAATACTCGAGCAAGCAAGTGTTGCTAGAAGATCAACAACGCGGTGCACCATAATGATCCAAAATATAAGGTAAATAAGTTCTACAAAAATTTTATTTTGACCATATTGAGAAAACATATAATTACAAAAAACCAAACATTTTTGTAATACTTAACAAATTTTAACATCAATCTTTTTCTTTTATTTTGTCTTTCCAACAGGAATGAACAACTCCAAGTTACGTTATGGGGATACAAAGCTGATCAATTTGATGAAAATGTTATAAAATTGATGCAAGGACCAGTTGTAGTAGTTTTTACATCAATGTTGGTTAAGCAATATTTAGGTATTTTCTCAGCAATTCAAAATAATATTTTTATATAGACATAAAATACCTAGATATATGTATAAAAAAATGCTAATCAATTTATTATAAATATTTCAGGCAATGCATATGTCTCAAGTACAACGGCAACAACTTTCTACATTGATCCCGATATACCAGAAACAAAAACACTAAAAATAAGGTAACTAAAATAATCAACAACGTCTGAAAACAAAAACTTATTTTACTACTTTATTTAATTACTTTTAACTTTACATGTATAGATTTGTCCACTGATTAACACCCAAAAGTGATGTTCACAAGCGGTCAATTGTAATACAGAAAGGCGGTCGTATCCACACAGAGTAACAAAATAAACAAGAAAGATTAGCAGAATGAGAGCGTTAGAGAAAAATAAATAACAAGTAAATTAAAGAAAAAGAAGAGTTCTAGAGATTTTTGTTGCAAATAAAATAAAAAGAAGAAAATTTGTATGAAGAAAATTCAGTAGTAAAAACTGTAAGGTGTCGAGAATTCCTAATGTTTCGTTCACCAATTTAAGTTTTGATTCACAAAATAAAAGAATCGAATAAATTAAATCTCTATGTTGACTCTGAAAATATTATTACTACAAGTTATCCAAAATTAAAAATATATCAATTTGACAATATTGCAGTAAAAGACAATTTGTAAAATAATTTGAATAACAAAACAATGCGTGACAGAATTACATAAGAAAAGCGTGACTGGACTTATATAAAAATTGGCACACAATATTTTGAAAAGTAAAAGAAAGATAGATGAGATTTAATTCATTCAGATATTGAACTTTACAGCACAAGGAATCAAAAGCCCAAATTGGGCCACTCAACAAAAGTTCATCTCTAACCTCACCAGAAGAACTCTAGCCTAGTTTGCAAAACATTCCCACAAGTTCTAGAGAGAAAATATGAGAGTGACAACAAGACGATAGAAAACTGGATATTAAAAGCTTACAAAAACCTTAGGCTAACCCTCTTATTTATAGTGTTTAGAGGTTGCCTGTCAAATAAGGAAACAAATAATAAAAATAGAAAATTACAAAAGAAAAGGAAACAAAATAAAATTACACATAAATTAGGAAAAAATATATAAATATGATTTGAGGAAGAAATCTGGCCAATTTGCTCTGATTTTAAAGGAGAAATTCAGACTCAGCACTCAGTGGACACGTGTCGCAACGTGATTGGCAGTGAGGAGACAACTCGCTACGTGTCTCGCGCGGAATGGTTGAAGTGTGCTGGCGCTGAACAATGGTGGGAGACAACTGTCACGCACAGAAGAGAGAAGTAGGCTGGCATGAGCTGGCGTGGGGTCCGTGTTAGACATCTGGCGCGCGAAGAGTGGGCGGTCAGCTAGACTTAACGGGCGTGGGACCCACACGAGATTGGGTTGCAACGCGTTGGAGATCACGCAGAAGAAGGACGCGCGCCCTGGGAGTCTTGCGTGTAGGTGACACACGCGAGGTGGAGTGGGGAAGAATTTAGGCGCAGATTTTCGCGCTGACTGGTGGGGCCCACTTCATTTGGCTCGGCCGAAGGGTGGTGTGGCTTTCTCTCTAATTAGCTCGGCTTGGCTGAAAATATGGCTTTCATGGCTTCTTCTTATGTAGCTTTTTACACTGCTTTCATCTGCAAATAATTAAGCAAAAACTAGACAAATTCCAATTAAAAATATTATGAATAAAAATAATGGGATTGTTTAATTAAAGCTTAAATATTTTAATATTATATAAATCAAAAGTAATATTTAGGGTGCATTTTCATGCACTTATTACCCACCAAAATTAACAAATTGAATTCCCAATTGCATGAGCAGCACAAGCACCATCCATCGAAGAATAAAGGACAACAAATAGGAAACAATCAATGAATTAAAATTGCTACAACAAGAGATTAATCAGGTCAGTACTATACGGTTCCACATTCTTTTTACTTTAAAACTACACTATTTAGGCTGATCTTAATTGTGAAAGACCTAAAATTTATGGTGAAAGCTACAATAATTGCATTCTCAGCAAGCCAAGGATAATACTATAACTCATGCCCCAGATATTATCAACAATTAAGAGAAGTAGGAAGCGGTTAGTGGTGTAACAGTCACGGACATATAAAAACAACGCCATCCCCATGGTAATCAAAATTAAAAATTATTTATTATAAAAATCTTAATTATTATAAATAATCTTTCACACATACAATCTATTACTATATAAAATACATGTACAAATTAATCACAAAAATCGAAGACCATACCGGAAACATGGATGTAACTATATTTGGCAGAGCAGCGCATGTCATCATCGAGAAACCATGCTCCACTCTAACAATAGATGAAGGCTTTATAGATAGGTTCACAATCCCACCAATTATCAACCAATTGAGAGGGTAAACAAAAATCTTCCAAATATACTTCCAACAAAGAGGAGGACAGATAAATACAATCGCATCAAAGATATTTGAAGACACTCAACCTGTAATATCACCACCACAAACATCTCACACAGAAAATACCAACAACAAGGTAAAATATTTTTACTAATTTATATCAATTGTATATAGAAAACAATATCTACTAATTCAAATATATATTTAAATAATATTCTATTGTTTCAGCCTTGAACAGAAACACAACCATTAGTGCTACCACCAATTGATCCATAGACACCAATCCCCAAAAAAATCAGCTATAAGGTAAAATACTCGCTCAAAAGAAACACAGCAACCGAGAAAACGTCCAAAAACCAGCTAACACAACCATACTTAAAATGTAATCTTAATCTTCAAAATTATCAATGCTAATTTCTCAAAAATTTATGTTTTGCAGCTAAAAAAACGAGAGAAATAAAAAAGAAAGCATCAAACTCAAATACTACTTAAATAACCTTTTATAATGAAATCATTTATATATATGTATATATGTAAATAACTTTTTAAATCTATATATTATATATATATACATATACCTGTAAACTCAAACACACTGTATATATGTACATATACATTGTATATAACTTTTTGTAACAACGTCATTGTAAATAACATTGTAAACAACTTTTTATATATAGACATATATATGTATATATAAATAAATACATTACCATAAAAATTATGGATTCTTTATATATCACAAAATTATTACCCACCGCAAGGCACCGGCATAAGTCTAGTTAAACTCTAAAAAAAGGTCATATGTAATTTACTTTTTTTTTTTTTTCAATGGGCTGAATTGTGCTGCTAGGAAGCCCAACACGTCAGCTTGTACTGGGCAAAACAGAAAATTTGTGAATGGACTTGGGCCTAGTGCTCAAAAAGCCCAGGAATCCGTCGTGTACTGTTAGCAAAACTGAACTCTGTTTTGTGTACTTATCTGGGGTCTCCCTCTGTACATAAAAACCCTCTTTGAATGAAGAAAGCGGGGGACCTTCTCAGAGCCACTCGCAGCAGCAGCTTCTTCTTCTCCGATCGCAAGCTCGGTTCGGTTATGGAGGACGCATCTCAGAGATACTCTTACGAACCTTTTCTGCGATGGAATCCTCTAGTGGAACAATACTTCTGCAAAGCTTATGGACCTCGCAATTTCGCGCGCATCTCTAAAGCATTGACGTAAGTCTGCTAATTCCTTTTTCGCACAATGGATTTTCCTCGTTTGCGATCCGTTTGGTTACTGAGAAAGTGCAGGAAAGGGAAAAACTTTTTCAGTTGGTTTTTAAAAAATGTTATTAACGCATTGTTATAAAAGAAACTGTCTGAAAGTTTAAAGTATCTGTTATGTGTCAAAGCGCAAAGGAATTGGTTATGCTAGTATTCTGTGTACATTCACTACAATGTTAGTAGTAAGTATCATTAGTTTGTGGAATCTTTGTTGAAGTTTTCTTGTTACAATGCAACTTTTTATTCGATTAGGCGCCCATCTTGCTACTCTTGTATACGCGTGAACTCGCTCAAGTCCTCGACCGATGCGGTAATTGAGAAGTTGCTGGCGATTCTTAAAGAAAAGGAGGTTGAATATGGTAATGATTTCAATGAAGATTCTGATATGGGCACTGGGAATTGTAGTTTTTCCACTGAATCCAAGGAACCCCAGAATTTGGATGTATGTTGTACGCCAGCCTCAGGAGCAGTCGAAGATGTCACTAATATGTTCAATGGTAGCTTTGGAAGTGGTCCTATTTCAAAGTGTCAGTTTCCAGGGTTAGACTATGTTCTGTTTGTCAAGGGTTCAGGACCACACACAATTGATTATGGTTTTGCGGATGGAAAACCTCCGAAGGAAGTCATTGTGAGTCGTAAGTGTGCCGAGGCTGTTCTTCGAGGTGCTCAGGTTAGATTTTGTTCCATGAACGTGAGATCCTAGAGTTCATTTCTGGCTTGATATAATTGTTTTGTTTGCCTCTGTTTCTGTCGATGACAGGATCACGTCATTCTTGTCTTATCATTGTTGTCTTTCAGATGTATGATTTGGGGATGTAGTGATACATGGAGACTCGTTTCTCCTGTTTCCTAAAAGTTATTTACCTGCAGGTCTATGTTCCTGGAGTAATGGCTTGCAGTGCTCATGTTGAGAGAGGCGATTTGGTTGCAGTTTCAGTTGCTGTTGAGCAGCCTAGCGTTGATGGTGGATGGGCCAAAGGTATCACACGGGGGACCATTATGCAGGGTTTGTCGACAGGTAGGAATTTTATTCACTTAGTGGAGCTCATTAACAATCCTTTTCTGAAAACGTCTTTTAATGCATTATATTTATATCCAACTGTTGTTAACAGATTTTACTATTTAAAAAGAAGCGTAAGATTTATTTCAATAATCTTTTTCTTTCTTTCTTGAATAATAATGTGTCTTTCTACTAAGAACACTAAGAGTGGTAAAAAATATAAATAAAATAAATAACTAAATTAAATTCTAATAAATTACTAATTACTATAGATAAGTATATATTTATCTATATATATATATATATTTAATAAAAAATATCTATTTATGATAAATGCAGATCCATATTATTCTGAAAGAAGAGGCCTGTATATTGGCCAAGGAAAAACAATGTTGTCAAGGTCTGGAATCTTCCGTGTTTCAGAAGGAGTTGCAGTGGATATGTGTAATCGAGTATTCAAACTCCCTTCACTTCATGGTATATTTCATAATTCATTGGAAACAATGTTGCTTGTTGTGCATTTATAGTTTTGGACGCCATTTAAAATGTTTAAATAACTCTTATAATTTTCTGTTTTGGCTCTCAGATGTGCTTGACGGGGAAATATTTCTTCAAAATTTGCCAAGCATTGTTGCTGCTCATGCACTAGGTACCTCTTAGCTAAAGTGATTTTCTTATCTTGCTGCTTTCTAGAGATCTTTGCATTTCAGAAGTTGTGTGCACGTGTGTTTGACAAAGTAGCCTCATCTGCAATTCTTTTTTCTCACTTTTTTGTGGTTTGCGAAGCAGCAGTAAATTCTTACCAAGGCTTTCATTTGTTCTTTTCCTCTCATGCTCTAGATCCTAAAAAAGGCGAGCGGATATTGGACATGTGTGCAGCACCGGGAGGCAAGACAACTGCTATTGCAATTCTTATGAGAGATGAAGGAGAAATTATTGCAGCTGATAGATCTCACAATAAGGTGATACTTCTGAGCTATAAAGTAATGTGAGAAACTGTCTTCCTGTTCTGCTCCTTGTATTTAATTTTGGTGTTACATATTTGCGAAACCCATGTTCCCCCGAAGAGTGATGGTGATAAGGCACAGCTTTTTATGTCATTAGTTTCATGTTGCCTAGGATTTCAAGGTTTAGTGATTTATATTTCTTTTTTTAACCTTTTTTACGCCAAGGATTATGACCCTGTATCTTTTGTACGCTGTGTACTTATAGGTGTTGGATATTCAGAAATTGGCTGCGGAAATGGGCCTGAGTTGCATAAGAACATATAAACTAGATGCTCTAAAAGCTGTCCGCCGAAGGAGTGAAGGTGATGATACAACTAATCTAGCCTGCAGCAAGGATAATTATGATGTAACAGTACAAAGTTCGGACTCAGTGAAGTTGCACGTGGAGAAAAAGGCACCAATTACTTTGGAGGGATTGAATGCTGATGAGACTTTGAAGAAAAATGGTAGGTGAATTTTATATGAACTGATATATATATATATATATATATAGTTTGATTTCATTTTGGCATTTCCAACTTCCAAAGTAGTGCAAAACAGTACACAATCTTTTGATCCTTCCAAAATATAAAGCTAATTAGCTCACTGTTTTAGTTAGCAATGAAAAAGCAAATGAGAGAACTTACATTAGCAAAGCTGACATCAGGAAGAATCTGCGAAGAATGCGGAATGGGCCTGGAAGAAATCAGTGCACAGGTGGTAGGGTCGCGAATTCTAAAGGCTTTCCTCCCAATAGCTTTGATCGTGTCCTTCTTGATGCTCCCTGTTCTGCCCTAGGCTTAAGACCTCGACTATTTGCTGCAGAGGTAATATGATGTAGTTAAATTTTTTTGAAAAGAAACACAAACTTTAATGATAAAATTTTGTACAAGAGAAAGCCAAAGGCAAGGGAAGAAGTTTCCCTAGCTAGAATGATCAAACCCTGATAGAAGAAATATCCAAACAGGGAATTTACAGATATGGAGCCCAGCATCTAACTAACTCTGAAAAAACTGGCCTACCGAATTCTGTCTCTGTAAACTCAAGTTGAGACCTGGTATTTAATATTATCCCATAACACCCAGCTATCTCCCGATCTCTCCTCAAAAGTTCTGCTATTCCTAACCAAATACTCCAAAGAGTAGCTTGGAGAGCAACCTTCCACAAAATTCGACCTCTAAGACTAAAACTATTCGGAAGAGAAAACTCAAGCAACTCGAAACAATTCCTCGGAGTAACCCAAGAGAGCCCGAATTCCTTTAACAGCGAAGACCAGACTTGATGAGAAAATGAACCGTGTATAAACAAGTAGTGATTAGCAGATTTTCCCTCTTTCTTGCAAAGAACGCACCACCCGGGAGATAATGAAAGATAAGGACTCCTACGCTACATCAAATCGTGAGTGTTCAATTTGTTAAGAAGTAGGAGCCAACAATAAAGATGAATCTTAGAGGGAACGTGGGGTTTCCAGATTTTATCAAATAAAACAAAGCTAGGAGCTAAAGATTATGATGTTAGCAAAGAGAAATAAGACTTAACAGAAAATATCCCATTTGGATCTGGAATCCAAATCCTCTGATCCTCAAGAACACTGCAGAGAGTTACCCCTTCCAGTACCGTAACTAATTTAGAGGCCTCTAACAATTCCCTAACAGTCAAGTTTCTTGAAAACTGAAAATCCCAAGATTGAACCCCACTCTCTTGGAAATTGGACGATGAAACAAAATCCACAATCGGTTGATTATGTAAAGGAGAGATACGATATAATGCTGGAAATTTCAACTTCAAAGGCAGCTTGCTGCACTACACATCATCCCAAAATCCAATAATCTCACCCAAACCAACTTTCCAATTAACTTGCTGAAAATACCCAGTTGAGACAGACTGAACTACTTTCCAAGGGCATCTGTAAGTGACTCTGGAGGCTGCTCCAGCATCCTAACCGTTATTGTCCAGGCCATACTTGCCTTTAATAACTTTATGCCATAAAGACTCTTTCCATAGGGAATCTCCGTAACCATTTTGCTAGGAGAGCTTCATTTCTTTTCCTGATGTTACCGATACCTAGCCCCCCGAGCTTTTTTGGTCTACACACTTGCTCCCATGCCATGAGATGACTAGCACTATCCTCCAAATAACCTTTCCACAAAAAATCCCTCATTAATTTCTCTATCTCCTCCGCCACGCCAACCGGGATTCTGAAAATGGACAAATAATACACTGGTAGCGAGGACAAAACAGATTGGATGAGTGTAAGATGCCCCCTGTTGGTAAAATTCACTGCGCAAGTGCACGTGCCAAACAAGTAATAAAGTGAATGAGTAGAGTATCGTTCCCACGGAGAAAGTTACCAATACTAATAAGATCCAAGAGATGCAATGTAAACAAGTGTAATGGTTTGATTCAACTATGAAGACTAAAAAGAATTACAGTAACATAAGTAAATAACACACACTCAGTTGTTAAGGGTAAAAATCAATCTATATGAAATGGTTGGGACTCAATTTTCCCTTCACTGCAACCTGGGCTATGTATGCTACAACTTTTGCTACAGCAATGCTGTCAGTTAACCTGAAACATGAATTTACACTAGAGTCTTCCGATCTACTTATGGTTTTACCTCTTTACTCAAATTTCGACATATTGCTATGAAAAATCTAAACAGAGGTTGTATTAAGCATGAGTTTCAATTGGGCTATGTGATACAAGTGTATATTCCTATACTACTCGCAAATCAGCTAGGTCTCTTTATGAAATTAAGCTAAACTCACACTGTTCAATATTGGTCTAACTCCAATCAACTTTCCAGCAAATTGAAATCACTATATTTTGTTTAAGATGGCCGGTCATCAAACAAAAATGAACAAGAAAGATTATGTTGAACAAACTAATCAGTACTAATATAGCATGAGTGAGCATACACAACGTCAAATTACAAATATGGGTACTTTATCATCCTAGTCAAATAAAGTTAGCTCATAATTGTTCTGTTAAGTGCAACAAAATAGACCGCCATGGTTAAAGTACAGAGAAAGAGGAAGGATAAACCAAAATGAGGAGAATAACAGTAAAGACAATTTGGGTCCGTTTAGTTTGCTAATTCGAGTTGAGATATGACTTTATGTGAGAGCTTTTTACTATAGTAAAAAAGTTAGATGTGACTGTTTCTGAGAGCTTTTTACTATTGTAAAACTCGAATCGGTGAAATGAACGGGGTCAAAATGAAGCTTGGTAGTCTCCTCTTGTGGCTTCACTCTTTGAGATTTCTAGCTCTAAGTTCGTCTCCTCCAGTACTCGTCCTTCCTTTCTCTCTTTCTCTCTGGTCTCCTTTTTTCTTTGCTGCACTCTTAGCCCACTCGGTACTATCCTCCATATTTTTTTTTCCTTTTCCTTCTCTTCCCTTCTTGCGGTGCTCCCTTCTGAGGAAATAAAGTGTACTTCTCTTTAGGGCAGCCAAGGACGCTGAGTGGCTCCTACTCTTCCCTTTGGCCTTTGTTCTTTTATATGTAGAGTTTCGGTTCCTACTAAAGTCCAAATTTTTAATTGGCTGCTTGTGTCGAGTAAACTTTAACACTCAGGATTTGTTGCAAAAATGGAAGCCGTATCTTTTCCTCTTGCCTGGCTGGCGCGTTCTCTGTAGAAATGCAAATGAGACGGTGGATCACCTCTTCCTTCACTGTCCTTTCTCACTAAGAATTTGGCATCATGTTTTGGGGAAGTTTGGTTTTGTCTGGGCAGTCCCCAACAAAATCATGGAGCTTTTTGGTTGACTTTCTATTTGGAAGAAGTAAGAGTAGCAAGATATTGTGGAATATTATTGTCCTTGCAGTCACATAGGCTTTGTGACTAGAAAGGAATAATCGAATTTTTGAGGATGTCCAAGGAAATAGTGTAGTTATAGACAAAATATTTTACTGGGTTGCATTGTGGATGTCTCAAATAAAAAGCAATAATGGGGTGTCTTTTTCAGATTTGCTTAGAGGTTGGGACATTATTTTGCATTGAGTGGTGGGGTGGGGGGGATGGGTTTGTTTGTTTGTTTGTACTTGTAGGTGTCCCATTTTTAGTTTTTGCTGAGTTTTTGTCCTTGTTTGTTTGGTGTTGGAGGACTTCTTGTTCTCTGTTGTATACTCATGTTTCTGGTTAATCTTCAATAAAAAATTCTCGTTTCTTAAAAAAAAAAAAATGTTGGAAGAAACTGATCCTATGATTACTATTTGTTGGAAATTCAGGATTGATTGAAATCCCAAGATTTCTGTGAATACAGTAACTGTGGGGACAGATTCGTGTTTCTAATTATAGGAGATTAGCTGTAAATCAGTAGATAACATTTTCCTTATTTCTAGAGATTAGTAAAATGTCAAACTTTCCTAGAATAGCAATACCGTGTTGTATAAAGTCTATGTATTTAATCATTTTCAGATGAATGAAAAATATTCCAGATTTTCCTTCACTATTATTACATTATTTTATAGGAAACAATTGAGTCCTTGAGAAACCACGCAAAGTATCAAAGGAGAATGTTCGATCAGGCTGTTCAGTTAGTTCGACCAGGTGGAGTCATTGTCTATTCAACGTAAGTACTAATTGTGCATTTTTCTTGATGATGATATTCACGGCATGTGGATTAGATGAAGTAATGGAGGTTTGCTTTACTTGATATAATTGCATCAACTTGGTGGCGTTTTATTGTTTAAATTCTGTACATCATGTTAATCTATCGGGTGTTTTTCACATGCGTATACGCTTTCTTTTTATTTTGCAATGCTGCTGTAAAACAAAATTATGTTAAACAAGAAATTGATAACCTTAAGCCTGTTTGGTTTATGGCAATTCATTGCCAAATATTTTTGTTGTAATCTTTCCTTTCCGGTTCAAATCTTTTGTCCTTTATTTTGGTTCATAGGGCATAGGTGTATTATCTTACCATTGACTAAATTCTTGTGTTATTATCTTTATTTATTTATTTTTTTGCTAGCTGTACAATAAATCCGGGTGAGAATGAAGCTCTGGTTCGATATGCTTTGGACACTTACAAATTTCTTTCATTGGCAACACAGGTTAGATCTTTAATTTAAACATGATGAATGCTCGTAGGTAAATCTATCGCCTGTGGTTGTAGGATTTGCCTAGCTGTAAATCTATGCCTACCCTTAATATTGAGGTCTAGAGTTTAAATTCCGTACTCCAAGTACTCTGGTTTGAAGTAGTTGTTATGTAACGTGCATGTGCCTGTGCATTTGCACGTGCACAAACATAGACATTATTTATTGCATCAGTAATAGTAATATATTTGGTACTGCTGTCTAACTGTGTCCTAATTACAAAGTGATAGTTACTTTTTGGTTATCAAGTAAAGTAGATTGATTAAATTTTTGTATTAAAGAAGAAATAGATTGATAGGTGGATTAAAGTCGTGAATAGATTGAGAAGAGCTAATGAAAACAGAACCTAACATGGTAGAGCTTTGAAGAAGATGTGCTTGTCGAAGGTTTGTAGGGTGATTGACTTAGGTTCGGAGGATTTTTTTTTTCCTTTTTTAAGTCAACCTCTAATTATCTTCAAAGTTAATTTGTTAACATATGACTTAAATTTTGAAAACATTTCAGCATCCGAGAATTGGAGGACCTGGTCTTCTTGGCCACTTCGAATACCCTGATGGATATGTTGAGTAAGTTTTCTGTTGGCTGATCCTGAACTTTGAACTAGACTCCTTGTTATCTGTTTTTGGCAAATACATTGGTCTTGTGAAATTTAAATGGTTCTTTAAACTAAGAGTATTGGCTTATACGAATTCCTTCTAGGACATTATGCATTTGAGCTTCATTAGTTAAAGAGAGAGCTAAATTAGCTGAAACTGATTTCTATTGAAGAGTCAGAGTTTTTCATTTTTCTTTTTCATTCAAGTTAAAACTTGAATTACATTTTTTCTCCACTTAAGATGTAGCGAGAAGATCACACGCAACAGTTTTACTATGTTTGGGGGTTCCCATTATGGGATAGGTTAGAGAGTAACACATAGTCTGCGAGGTGCGAGGTGAGTGATTCTCTTGTAAATTTCTTCTTCATTAAAGTGAAATTATGCAACGGAAATGTGGACCTAGTTCTCACACTAAACGTGAACCAATATTAAATCTCGTGTGTTTCTTATCTTTCTTTCATATTATTGCCCTCGACATTACTTAGGCCCCGTTCATTTCACCGATTCGAGTTTAGAATTCGAGTTTTGCTACAGTAAAAAGCTCTCAGAAACAATCACATCTAACTTTTTTACTACAGTAAAAAGCTCACACATAACGTCACATCTTAACTCGAATTAAAAATTCGAATCAGCGAACTAAATGGGCCCTTAGTTTGGAAAAATTTGGAACTGGACGCCTCTTTTTACTCGAGTATTAGAGCTGGGGATTAACACATAGACAGAGGTATTGCAGGGACAATAATAGTTGTTTGGAAAACCCTTTGTGTCCCTTTTAGTTTTAACAATCCATCGCAAAAACTTAAACTATTAGGAGATTGAGCCAACAATAGTTTTTATACTTTAACACTCCCACTCACGTGTGGGCTAGATAATGAGTAATCGTGTGGGTAAATTAATTGGAAAGCTCAACACGTGAATATTTAATAATAAGCCTGAAATATATTAAAGACTCAACACATAATAACAATAGTTTTTATACAATCTCAAAAGCTTAAATTATTAGGAGATGGGCTAACAATAGTTTTTATATAATATCAAAAAGATGGCGATTGATGCAGCTACATTTGTAGTCTTGTAGACCAGACGTTTTTTCTCTTTTTTTTTTTTGTGTGGAAAAGATTATAATCTGATCTTTTTGCAACACTTGACTCGCAGGGAGTGGTTAAGACCCGGTGAGGAAGAACTTGTTCAGAGGTTTGATCCATCATCTCCATTGGACACCATTGGTTTTTTCATAGCCAAATTTAGTGTTGGTTTAAAAGAAACTTGACTTCGCTAAGATCTGCTATTTGAGTAATTTGACAAGATAGTAACAGTTGAGACAATGGATTATTATGGGTTGAACTATTTTTCTTCACTGCTCAACGTCTAAGCATGAATTGACAACTTATTTATAATGTTATTTCCTTGTATAATACAATTTATACATTTCTTGATGCATAAAAATAATTTTATATGTTCTTCAAAAAGAAAAATATATATATTATACGTGATTTGTTGCAAAAGTAGTGTCAAGACTTCTCTCATTCTTGTCGATTCCCTTGACTGTCTTGAGCGAAACTCAACTCCGCACGCAACGTTAAACTCTATTTGGTTAGTTATTTGCAATTATTATATTTCTCAATCCCATTATCATCCAAGGTTTTGAAACCCCGCTTTTAGGTCAAGAGGATACAAGTCTTGCAAACTTAGATTGCATTGTGTTTGTGAGGACCCTGTTTTTATTTAGTTTTTTATTAATAGATTTTTTTTTTGTGTGGAGGGCTTTTTCTAGCTTTTTTTCCCTGGTGGAATAATGTTGAAAATTTTCATCATCCTAGCTTAACAATTCTCATTGTAACTTCGCATAATTGTTTGATTTCCTTCTAGAAATCTATAACCATATAGTGTTTTTCCCCCCTTTTGATATGTAACAGTTAGAAAAGTATTTGCGAGTGATTCTAGCTAGCTTCGCAAGAGGTCCCAGTTAGTGAAGAACATCTTATCAGTCAGGTAATTCACCAAAATAGCTGCAAAATTTCCCCTAATAAACTAATAAAACACAAAACTGCGAGGGGAAAAAAAAAAATGTTCAAGTACACAATTGGCCAGAAGCTGTTTTCTTTTTTGCTTGACCTCATTTCGCTCTTTTTTTTTTGTTTTTTGTTTTTTTGTTCTTGTGGGGTGTGACATACGTGAAAGCAGCTGAACATGCTAATACGTCTACTAAACACATGAGAATACGTCAGTATTAGTTATTAAGATAAGATCCTAATATCCGCTTTTTTTTTAAACAAAAAAAGAAAAGGAAAAAAAATCCTAATATCATATCCGTACATAGCACTTAATTTTTAAGATACAATATTCAACTGTCTTCATCCCACAAACAACTATAAGTCATTTCATTAGACAAATACGAATAATCACTAATAACGTTGTTACAATACTCAAATTCCACCACCCCAACAACGAGCAGCCAGTGCTCTCCATCGTCTCAACCCAGCCATTCTCGTCGATAGGGAAATCATTCCGCTCAACGGCCCGCTCTTCAAGCACATTTTTACTAGTGTTGTTAGCCACAGCCGATTGCATGAGGCAGTTATTTTCGTTATCCTCATCCTTGTTCATGTTTTCCTCATCCTCCAATTCCTCAAGCAAGTCTCGAAGAAGGGCTGCGTCGGTTTCCGTGACTTCTAGTACGTCTAACTCGCCCATGACATGTTCCATACTACTAATCTCAGACATATTTGAAGAGGAAATGAGCTTTTAAGCGTATAACAAATAGGGTACGTTTGGTATACAGTAATCTTAAGGATGAGAATGGAAATCTGCAATATTATCATGTTTGGTACAAGAATTATAATTTTTAGATTCCCAAGAAAGTGATTACCATGGAATTCGCTTTTCTTCATTTTAAGGTAATTTGAATACCACCCAACATGGTGTTATTCAAATTCCTAGGAATCTCCAAATCATGGGAATATTATTATTGTTGTTGTTGTCGTCGTCGTCTTGTTATTGTTATTTTATTATTATTATTGTTGTTATTATTATTATTATTATTATTATTATTATTATTATTGTTATTATTGTTATTATATTATTATTATTGTTATTGTTATTATTATTATTATTGTTATTATTATTATTACTATTATTGTTATTATTATTATTATTATATTTATTATTATTATTATTATTATTATTATTATTATTATGGATCTTCTTCTATGCGAACAACCAAACACAGTGTTGACGGTCAAATTTTGCCAACAAAAACCCGATCGGATTACCTCTTGGTTTCCCTTCGGATTACCGGCCGCGAGTGTATAGTTTAACGTATGTGGTTTTGTAGAACATGTGTGTGTTTGTAAGTTAACTAAATCATACCCAGGCAAAATGACACAAGGAGTTTTTATAGTAGTTCACTCTATAAAATGAGAGCTACATCCACTGTAGTTTTGTATATCTTTGTTGGAAGATCACAACTTACAATCATAATGCTTATTAAATTTTTTCTTCCCTTGTTATTCTCTCGAACCCCCTCCTTACTGGGGCCTTCCTCTTTTTATATTGGGCTTCCTTCGCCTAGGGGGTTTCCTTCATAGGTGGAGGCACTCAAGTGCTCTCCTCTGGTAGGTCCAGACGTAGCCCACTAATCAGAACTGTTCACTCAGCCAATTAGTCTCCCATTACGGCTCGGTGCTTCCCCGTAACACTTTTCTGTCCCCTGTGGGCGCGGTCTGATAGCTTACAATTAATGCATACAGACCTTCTCCACTTCTGCATGTAACCCGTTACGTCCTCTAAAGGACGTTCCCCTCGTCGTCAGCATTGCTCAGCTCAACCGCTTTCTTTGGTGGCCCTTTCTGCGGTCGAGAGATCTTCATCCCTTAGTGTCGACGGCGCAATCAGTCGATGCCATAAGGGATCGTCGCCCGGACTTGGACTTCGTCCTTGGGCCTTCGCAGCGAAATAGGAGGGGTCCGTAACTGTCGAGGGTTCCTTGCTTGGTGGGGATTTAGTCAAGACCACGTGTCGCGGTCTACTTCGTCCACGTGTCCATCACATTTTCCTACACAACAGCTACCCCCCAGGTCGAGGGCTTCTTTTGGGTGGCATCGGACTTAGGTTCGGTTGCCCTATCGTGCTTTGGGTAGTTCCTCGGCCCATCTCCCTTTCAGATCGTTGAGTCTCTTTTTGAGGGTATACTTTAGTATCTTATTGACCGCCTCAACTTGTCCATTTGGTTGTGGATGAATCGGCGCCGAGAAGTCTTTCCGGATGCCTAAGCTATCACGGAATCGGCGTGTTGAGGCGTTGTCGAACTGTTTTCCGTTGTCGAATACTATTGAGTGGGGAACCCCAAACCTGCATACGATGTGGTCCCACATGAATTTGGTGTAGGCCACTTTCGTGGTTGTAGTTAGGGCCTTTGCCTCTGTCCACTTTGTGTAGTAGTCCACCGCAACGATCGTAAACTTAAATCCTCCGGGTGCAAGATGTAACGGCCTGATTAGGTCAACCCCCCATTTGGCGAAGGGCCAAGGGCTGAGAATGGAAGTTAAGTTTTTTAGGGGCGCTCTAGGAATTGTGGCATACCTTTGGCATTTATCACAGCGCCGGGCGTATTGGAAAGCGTCCTTTTTTAGCGTGGGCCAATAGTATCCTTGCTTTAAAACCTTTAGAGCCAGAGACTGCCCCCCAGTGTGGTTACCGCAGACTCCCTCATGGATTTCATGGAGGACCTTCTGGGCTTCGGCATCATCCAAGCACCGCTGTAGAGGAGTTGAGTAGCCTCGCTGGTAGAGCAAACCGTCGTACAACAAGTACCTAGCAGCTCTATACCGAATCCGTCTGGCTTCGTTTTTATCGTTCGGCAGCTGTGCATCCATTAGATAACGGATGAGTGGAGTCATCCAATTTTCACTTACTTGGACGATTAACGCCTTAACCTTTTCCTCAATAGTTGGTTGCTCTAATTCTTCGATAGGAACGACCCCTAACATGTCAGATTCTCTGGAAGATGCTAGCTTTGTAAGTGCGTCGGCGTTTGCGTTTTCGGCCCGTGGTATTTGGAGTATCTTGTAGTTTTTGAACTTAACAAGTTCTTCTTTTACCTTTCTCAAGTACGCTCCCATCTTCTCGCCGCGCGCTTGGTATTCTTCTTTTACTTGTGCAACGACCAGTTGAGAATCACTGAAGACGCTGAGCCTTTCGATCTTCAGGTGGCTGGCTAACTGCAGTCCGGCAATTAATGCTTCATATTCCAGCTCATTGTTCGACGCCTTGAATTTAAATTGAACCGCCGAGGTAACCTTGTGGCCTTTGGGGCTGATTAATAAGACGCAGGCTCCTGATCCATTTTCGCTCGACGCCCCATCCACGTAGAGCTTCCATTTTGTAACCTCGACCTCTTCAGACGCGGCGGGAGCTAGCCTATGAGAGAACTCAGCCAGAAAATCGGCGAGTGCTTGGCCTTTGATCGCAGCTCTTGGCACATATTTTATGTCGAACTGGCTTAATTCTACCGACCACTTGAGGAGTCGACCGGAAGTTTCAGGCTTTTGTAGAGCCTGCCTTAGTGGGTGCTTGGTAAGAACCCGTATTGTGTGAGACTGGAAATAGTGCCGAAGCTTCCTTGAAGCTACCATTAGGGCGAGGGCTAGACGCTCCATTTCGCTGCATCTTGTCTCGGCGTCGAGGAGCCTTTCGCTCACGTAGTAGATCGACAACTGCACCCTTTCTTCTTCTCTTCCTAATACGGAGCTTACGGCGTGTTGGGACACGGAGAGGTATTGACTAAGCTCATCGTCGACATTTGGTTTTGACAAAATTGGGGGCTTGCCCAAATGCTCCTTCAATTTCTGGAAGGCCTCTTCACATTATGGTGTCCACTCGAAGCGCTTGCTCCCTTATAAAGCGTCGAAGAAGGGGACACATTTGTCGGTCGCCTTTGATACGAACCTATTTAGGGCGGCGACACATCCTGTTAATCGTTGTACTTCCTTTGGCTTTGTCGGGGACCGCATGTCCTGTGGGGCCTTGATTTTCTCAGGGTTAGCTTCAATCCCACGGTTGCTGACCATAAAGCCGAGGAATTTTCCCGACCCAACTCCAAAGGCACATTTTTGAGGATTGAGCTTCATGTGGTATTCTCTCAGTACACCAAACATTTCCCCCAGATGATTGACGTGATGGCTGGCCCTGGAACTTTTTACAAGCATGTCATCGACATAGACCTCCATTGTTTTGCTGAGTTGTTGAGCGAACATTTTATTCATAAGCCTCTGATAGGTCACCCTTGCATTTTTTAGGCCGAAGGGCATCACCTTGTAGCAGTAGAGGCCCCTGTCGGTTATGAAGGATGTGTGCTCCTCGTCAGCTGGATGCATGGGGATCTGGTTGTATCCGGAGTAGGCATCCATAAAGCTCAG